CTCACGTGATCGTGAATCGTTATTGCTATTGGACGCTTGGATAAGGCAACTTTTGCCGCGATACTCGCTATAAATATAGCGAGTTTTGCTATGACAAGAAAATTTCAAAATGATTTTAAAAGGGTAAATAGCATGTTTTTTAAAAAAATTATGATTGAATGTGTTGAAATTTATAAAAATAATGTATTCCAATATCTAACCAAAATTTTGTAAAAAATGGATAAGGCGAGTTTTGCTACTACACGCCTCATATATTATGTATATCAAGTAATTAAAATTTTTTGACAGTCTCTGCTAAATGACATTTCTCCACTGTCACTTTTGCTCATAATTTTTTTTTTGGTTTTTGCCTGATCTTACGAACGATATTATCAAACTTATATCGTTTGATAATATCGTAGCATTTCTTTGTCTTTTTGTTTATACCGTCTAGGTTTATATTACAGTTTTCTGGAACTTTTATGGAATTACATTTTATGTTTAATATACAGGTGTCTCAATTAACTGGTTCGTTATAAAGTCCCTACATTTACAAAGTACCGCGGATTGACGTCACTTTCGCTCGAAAGTCAAGCGGGAAATTTAAAACTACAAACCAAAACATTACGCCAAATTTCCTTTCTTTTTTCTCGTGGTACTCTGAAGAGTCGATACACCTTCTTACTGCCATTTTTGCAACTCCAAAGGCAACAAGACGGCAATATTTTTGTAAATAAGTGGTGAAATACAGTGATAAGCTGTCAAACCGCCATTTTGGCTCGAAAACAGGCTTCATGAACTGCGGTACTTTGTAAATCTAGGGACTTTAGTTCGTTATAACTTTTACAGGTTCCACTATTCGTAGAGATTTGAAATTTTGGTAGTTCATGGGTTGTTCATTCGGATCTTTCGATCTAAAATATTTTCAAGATGGCCGCCACTTCCGGCCTACCGGAAGTAGACCATAACTTCGTTATTTTAAATGGAATGCTATAGTTTTTATTACACCGTTTAATTGCACGTAAAAAATAGGTTGATTTTGATAAAGGGTTAATTTTAAGCTTTTTTTAGTAAATTTCAACATGCTCTTTAAAACCCCATATCAACCAACGTTCATTCAAAAAAGATCTACATTGGCATGATTACTCTTCAGATGCTGCCAAATAAATTGTCATTTGTTGTATCGGAGTATCTTATACAGGCTGGTCAAAAATTGAATTACTGTTTCCAGCCCCGGATCTAGGGGGGAGCAAGCCGGGGTAGTTGCCCCGGGCGGCATTTTATGGGGGCGCCTAATTCATACACATATATGTAGCAAAAAGAAAAATAAATTTGTTTCACTAAAAACACCTTACGTCTTAGTACATATATTGCGCGCGTTGTGCATATATCGATTACGCATTGTTCAAAATAAACATTTTAGATCTTGTCGTAACATGTTTTTTGAATTCTTATTACTCTACGCTTAAAAACATAATCACAGACGTATCTGATCTATGCTGCATGCGGAAAATAAGCTAAGATATCGGCTGGTCACGTGTATTACGTGTGTAGTTGGATGTGTAGCATGTGGCATGTGTAGCCCCCTCTGATTCGGATATTCAGAATGCCACTCGCTGTCACCGGTTTTATGTCAAGAACAAGATGATGACACCCAGCTAGCAACTAGCGACTTACCGCAGTCGGCTAGCCAGCAAGAAGGCGAAATAATAGATCTGATGGATCCAGGTGCATGGCCGGACACCGAAAAAATGACAGATCAGCAAAGGTCCTTTCTTAGTAATCAAGCTGTATTATTAAATGATAAACATCCAAACAACATAGAGTTTAAGTTCACCGAACGCAATGGTAGGCGTTTGACTTATTCGATGTGGTTCAGAACAATGACAAATAAAGAAAATATTAAAAGAACCTGGCTTGTTTATTCTAAGACAAAAAACTCAATTTATTGTTCTGCTTGCAAACTGTACTCCAACGTTTTTACACCGCTATCAGCCTTACGTTCAGTGGGTTTCATTAATTGGAAAAAGGCTTCAGAAAGATTAGCTGAGCATGAAGCATCACAAGCACATAAAGAATGTGTTATCAAATGGAAAACCCGTCTTCAGCAAATCAAATCGTGTCAGGGCATCGATCGCGATGTTGAGCTATTGATTCAATCGGAAAAAGAAAAATGGAGGCAGATTCTACATGTAGTAATGGACGCCGTTATGTATCTCGCTACAAACTGTCTTTCTTTTCGAGGTTCTAAAGAAACAATAAACGATCTTACTATAAATTATCCTCAACCTAATCAAGGAAATTTTCTTAACCTAATAATTCTTCTTGCAAAACACAATCCTACTCTCAAGCTCCATTTAGATCATCTACAAAAAGGTCAGGTGTCTTATTTATCGAAGACAGTACAAAATGAAATTATCCAACTACTGGCATGCAATGTTCGGAACACCATTATCGATGAGATTAAGGGGGCCAACTATTTCACCATCATGTTCGATTGCACCCCGGACATAGCTCACAACGAACAAATGAGCCAGGTGTTTCGATATGTTAAAATTACAGGAAGTGAATGTGAAATAAAGGAAAGCTTTATTGATTTTGTACAGGTTGATGGAAAGACTGGAGAATATATCACACAGCAAATTTAAAAAAAACTAGAATTGGATGGTTTAGATATACAAAAGTGTCGTGGACAAGCCTACGACAACGGGTCGAATATGGCCGGTATATATAAAGGAGTTCAGGCAAGAGTTATGGAAGTGAATGAGTCTGCAAAGTTTGTACCATGCTTGGCACACTCTTTAAATTTAGTGGGCGTGCATTCGGCATCATCATCTCCAGACGCAATTAGTCTATTTGGGCTTGTACAAAAACTGTACTGCTTCTTTGTTGGATCCACCACACGATGGGAAATAATGAAACAATGTACAAAAACTAATCTGAAAGGAAGTAGTCAGACAAGATGGTCGGCCAGACACTTAGCCGTTACAGCTTTAATAAATAATTTACCGGAAGTTGTCGAAGCCCTGGAAAAAATTGCAGAATCCTCCCTTTCGGCAGAATCTAAATACGAATGTAGTCATCTACTGGGTGCAGTAATGAATTTTAAATTTATTCTTACATTAATAATTTGGTCAAATATTCTTCGAGAAATGAACAGGGTTAATGTTCAAATACAGAAAGAAGACATTATCATTTCACGTTCTGTAGCACTAATGCAAGGTCTAATTCATACCATATCTGAAATGAGAGAAAAATCAATAGAATTTTGGATTGAAGAAGCTACACCTGTATCAAAAAAGTTGGGAATTGAGCCAATCCTTAAAAGCAAACGAATTCCCATAAAGAAACGGCAACACGACGAAAAGTGCGGCGACGAGTCAAGAACTCTCAACGCGACTCAGTTGGTCTCCAAAGAAATAAAAATTATATTCGACAAAATTTTGACGGAAATAAATACAAGATTAGAAAGCGCGAAAGATCTGAACGAAAATTTCGCCTTCCTCAATGGTTACGCGTTTGTAAACATGTCTGCTGAAGAACTGCAGAAACATGGAGAACTTCTAGCTAGAACATATTCTAGAGACTTGAACATACTTGATTTTTGCCAAGAACTCGCTGTTTTTAAAAAGCAAGCTCCACTTGTAATTGGTATAAACGAAAAAACAACTGCATTCGATCTGTTGCAAGGTATATACAAACATGATCTGCAGGAAGCTTTTCCCAATATTAGTATAGCTTTAAGAATATACTGCACATTACCGACAACATCTGCAAGCTGTGAGCGAAGTTTCAGCAAATTGAAATTAATTAAAACCTATCTTCGTTCAACAATGAGTCAAGAACGTCTATCTGGTCTCGCAATCCTAGCTATCGAAAATAAAACGGCTTGTGAGACAAACTTTGATTCAATCATAGATTCTTTCGCGGAAAGAAAAGCCAGACGCGTAAAGTTGTAGCGTGTAAAATTAATTTAAAAAAAATTAAAATTAAAGTAAAATTAAGTATTTTATTTCTCCCAATCATAAAAAATCTTCCAATTCCAATATTCCCATACAATTTATTGCCTACACTTGAAAATATTAAGTAAACTTTACGTTAAATAATAGTATATTTCATTACAAATTATAATTGACGTTTTCGGTGTCGTGTACTGTAAATTTATTTTCTGAATTTTTGTAAATAATTAGCTCAAAATGTTAGAGGGGAGGGGCGCCAAAGTCCATTATTGCCCCGGTTCAGAAAAATCGTAGATCCGGGGCAGTGTATCGATTTGCCAAGTATCAAATTTGTAGTAGTTATAGTTTAAAAGAAAAAACGTAGAGTCCAGAAAAATTTTAACATCCTGTATCTCGAGAACGNCGGTGTCGTGTACTGTAAATTTATTTTCTGAATTTTTGTAAATAATTAGCTCAAAATGTTAGTGGGGAGGGGCGCCAAAGTCCATTATTGCCCCGGTTCAGAAAAATCGTAGATCCGGGGCTGACTGTTTCTCCATATTCAATGGCGAGAAAGTCGAAAATTTTAAATGGAACGCCCCTTATTTTTTTAGCCTATCAGAAAGGGAATTTAATTCTCTACAAATTGTCTATAAACATTCATATACCTATTTATTGTAGTTTGCCTCATATTGGGAAATTTATTAAAACATGCACGAAATGCAGGTTTTTTATTAGAAAGCTATGGAATTTTGACAGTTTTTGGACCATGTTTGAATTATTGTTATAAATACTTATGGTTTCCCAAAAATCCATGTTTGAAGTTAATCCACGCCTTTACTTCTTTTGTTATTTTAGTTTAATGTACGATAATTGTGGAAAGAGCTCGGTAAGATATTTAAATGTTGGGCTTTCTGTATTCAACATTTTCACAAAGTTTTTCATCAAACCTAGTTAGTGATGTGTAATGGAGTCAATATACATATTCTGGACGCGATGGAGAAAAATTTAAGACAGTTTCAGAATCAGCTTAGATTCTACGAGGTTATAAAATAAAAATAATTATTAATTATTATATTTTAGGTCCCACTTTTACCATGTAGACACACAACAATGAAAAATTTCGGTTTAGATTATGTCCCATGGTCGTTGGATTCAATTGAAACGATTGTTTTGCCAACATTTTTACGAACGCATCATATCGATTTAACAAGTCAACACTTTTTAAATTATTTAAAAAAATTTACCGTTGGTCCCCAATATCTAAAACAATTTCCTGGGCAAGAAGAATACTTAAAATCGATTCTTGAAATAATCTCTTTATCGATAGAGGCTTTAAATGGAGCTGAAAAGACTGCAATTGCAGTTTGGATGTTGCGTTTTCACCGAGTTCTCTTAGTTTTGGAGAGAAAAGGGTTTTTAAACATTTCAAAAGAGTTACAAAAAAAATTGAAATCGGATCGAAAGAATTTATTGAAGAATTCGGGAAATAATATTATTTTATACGTTGAGTTTGGTTTAATTGAGATTTTTACGAATGATGGTGTTGAAAATGGGGTGAATGTTTTAATGGCGACTTTAAAGATGCAGGATAATTTCCGTTCGATTGATTTAATTGGTGATCGATTATTAAGAAGTTCTTTATGTTTTGTTTATAAAACTTTAATGGAGATTTATTTAAATGAAGATGATCGTGAAAAAACTTTGGAGTACGGATTACGATTAGCATTAGGGATCAATCTTGAAAGAAATATTCAAATATCTGAGTCATCGCTTAACGAGGCAACACTAAAATTTAAACACGTTACGATAAAATTGTTTCAAAATGATGATGATTCAATAATTGAAACAGTTGAGCATTTCTTACCGAATTTTTTGATTGATTGGATAACTTGTCAAGCGATTTTTATGTATTACACCAAAGGAATTGACGAAACTAAAAGATTTTTAGACGAGATTTTATTAAATTTCGAATCGAAAGTTTTCGAAAAAGAAATTATACTCGAATTTTACGTTTCCCTCGTTTTTAAGGATCGTCTAAAAAATGTATCACCACAAAAAATAACAAACTTAAACGACTTATTGTTTAAAAGCATCGTTTCTTATCCAAACAACGTCTTTTTTTTAACGATTTTATCAAAAACAGAAAATCTTTCTTGTTCGATTGGGAAAAATTTTTGGAAATTAAAACGTTTATTAACCCAAACGGGGCACGCATTTCCAAATTTATTTTTAATCCTCATTGAAATGGAAAAAATTAATATCATCGAAGAAACTTGGGTAGAAACGGTCACAAATGGGTGCTTAAAAAATAAAATATCTTCGTTATTTCGCGATTTAACAAGTTCTGGCGTTTGTACGAGACGGTGCGGATTAATTTGGAGGTTGTATTTGCAATTTTTGTACGAGAATTACGACGCTAATTTGTGTAGGAATGTTTATTATAAAGCTGTTGAGGAATGTCCGTGGTTAAAGGTAATTCTTTTTTGATTTAAGTAATTTAAGATTAAAAGAAAAAACAAACTTAGATTTATTAATATTTTTATCAGAACCGGTTTCGAATAATCTTATTGATCATCAGCTGAATCTAAATTAAGTACGAAAAACACAATTAAGTGACGTTTGGTTAAACCCAAATAATTCTAGTTTTAGTTGTTCCTCAAATATCTGAATAATAAAATTCACAATTATTTGACTTTTAAACGTCAACATCGTTAAAAACCTAAATCTCAAAAAACTCAAAGATCAGTTATATTAATGTAAAGAATGTTATTAAAATACTAAAAATAGCGAGATATATATAAATCAAAACAGTTATTAAAAAAATCGACAAGAAATATTCGACATTCATCTAAAGATTTCCAAAAATTTAGGTTGGTA